TTTTCCATTGTTTTTCAGTATAAACACGTGCTAGACGGATGTCTAACCGTTGCGCTCTTGTCTTTTGCAGCATGGCACAGCATTCTAAAAATGTGGTTCTCAAAGAAAAAAGAAGCACCTAAAAGAAGTTAAAGAAGTTTAAAAAAACGCATCTCTAGACCTTGTGCTTTTTTCTCTCGTTCCACTGCTGTTATCAACAGCAAAAACATGTTCTCTTGCTGAGGTGGATACATATAGGCTACATCAGATTTCACTTATCATGTGAAGAGTGTAGGGAGATATGACTGACAGGGCGATGTCGGAGGATTTGCTGCGCAACAGATCCTGAGCGTCATTGACAAATATGTTTTCTTATAAAATGTGTGGTCAGTCAGTACCGGCACTTCGTATACACTAGGTACGCGTGAATGCAAATTCGAAGTGAAAGTTGAATAGCAATACAAGCGCACATTCAAAAAACGATTTCAATACTCCACATATTGATATAGCGGTACAAATACAATATAGCCTACAATACAATATACAATATAAATACATACAATATAATTACTTAATTATAGAACTGCTTGAGAACGCGAAAGCATTGAAATATATTTATTTCTCGCATCTTGTATTTTTTTTCCATCACCATGTCCCTAGGGGCTCCGTAGAATGCGTCGTTTCTTTTCTGAACATAGTATTTGGCTTCGGGCACATCCATACTGCATACTAACTGTATAACAGTATATGATATAGTATGCAAAAATAAACAGCACACACACATGAACACATGCAACAAATTAATTTGAAAATTATTTTTAAATAGCCTATGTCAAATAAGTTTGCAAAATTGATGTCACGTGACCTTGTAACATTCCATGTGGTGTTATTTCAGAAAAAAATATAACAATTTATAAACACATGAAAAAATATTTAATTCAATTTTGTCTGCAAACTACATACAATTCAAAATTAAAAGTATCGTAAATCTGAACACTTGAGCTACGGCAACTACCGTATTTCCATGGGCAATTAGAATATAAAAACGTCTATTTTTGGCTCTTTATTAATGTGAACAAACATATTAGTGTGGGTCATGACAGTTTTTACACTGTAAAACCTGATGAGTTAGTTCAACTCAAACCGTTTGAGGAAACCGATTGCCTTAAATCATTTAAGTTTATTAACTCAAACAATTTAAGCTTAAAAAAATATTTGATTTGTGTTCAAGTAACTCAATAACTTATTGTTAAGATAACTTGGGTAAATAAAGTTAATAGTATTAATTCCATTCAGTTAATATAACTTAAATCTATGAAGTACACTGTAAACCCAAATAAGTTGGCAGAACTCAAAATACTTTTATTAGTATAAACTTAGTTAGCTTTAAAAAGCTAATCTGCTAACATAGTAAATGCTAACATATTAGCAATCGTATGTCATACAGAAACACTGTATGAGCACAGCAATATAAATGGATTATTTGCTCTCAAATCAAGCTGCATGCACCACTTGTCACCATGATGGTAACTATCCTAAAGCCAACATTAACAGAAATTCTTCTAAATTAGCATAACAAAACATGAATCACTACTAAATCTCACACATAACATTAATCTTACACACAAAAAACATTATATTACACTTAATTTTAGCATTTACTCTCCCTTTCGAGTGCCATCGGCAAAGCATGCTGGGAAATAGACATCCCAGCTGTTTCAGTTAAACTTAAGTTCGTCTAAATTAAAATAAATAATTTCATAAAACTCAAAACAATGAAACAGTTCAGTTTACTTAAAATATATCAGTTCAGTAAACTTGAAAGAAAAAGAAAGTGCTAAATACTCATAAAAGTTAATTTGACTGAACTAATTTGTTTAATTTAAGTTTGTCCTACTCAAACCAATTAATTATTTTGAGCATTAGGGTTTACAGTGGGTTAAATATAAAAACACAAGTAGGTGTACCTCCTCTTTTCAGGTGGTCAGACAGACAGGTTAATGTGTGCGTGGGTTTGCGTTGCCCTGAGGGACTGAGTGTTCGTCTGAACCAATAGCACTATGGGACATTCCTGTATTGTAGCTGACAGGTGCCTTTCTGACAGTGATGGATGCTGATGTTATGACAGCCTCCATTTGCTACGACTGCACTGTGTAGTGCTGCAGCTCAGAATATGAACTGTGAGAGAGGAGAAGAGAAGCTGGCATCTCTACAGACAGACACCCGTAAACAGATTATGGTGGCTGCACTGCAGCTCTCGCTCTCTGCTTATCCCAGAATTCCTTGCAACGTCCTCTCTCAGCTGCAATGCTTTCCAAGGCTGTATCTGAAACCGAAGGCTGCCTCGTTGCCCAGAAAGTCTTGCCATGTGCGTTTTTGTTTTTTTAAAAATATAACAGTAATATTATGAAATCGTATAACAATTTAAAATTGTTAGGTAAATTGTAATATATTTTTTCAGCACTCTTTGATGAATAGAAAGTTGAAACGAACAGCATTTATTTTACATAAAAATCTTTTGTAACATAAATGTATTTTCTGTCATTTTTAAAGTTTCCTATCTGAATAAAAGTATTGATACATTTAAAAACTAATTTTACTGACCCAAAACTTTTGAACGGTATAATAAATTAAATTATATCCATCTATCCATTCTCCAAAATGTTTGAAATTGTGGGGATGCTGGAGCATATATTAACATGATAAAGTAAATGATTATATAAATGTGTATATACATAAATTAGTACTTCTCGTTCTTTCAAATTCTGAAAATGCAGGGTTACAGAGCCAAAAAGTAATTTAAAATGACAAAGTTTGGAGCTAGGAATATGTTAGCCTGGGGAGAGGAGAAAATATACTGTGTTGAAAGAGAAAAAAGGTAAGAATTGAGGAAAATAAAATGGTTGATAAGGGGAAAGATGCAATCAAGGAGTGGGAAAATGGAACAGAAGGATGAATTGAGAAAGAGACATTAGTTTGGCCATGTGTGTGTCCAGGAGTCAGCATGGTGCCGCTCTGTGGTTGGTGTGCCAGGCGTTGTGTAATCACCTTATGCCCACCACAGAGAATCTTCCCTGTCCACAGTCCCAATTCTCAGGCAAATAATATGTAACCGAATGGACCGAGAAAAATAAAAGGGGGAAAACAAAAGCCATTTGAGCTTATTATGGTGACACTTCCCTGGGTAAAGTGGTGCACAGGATCCTCTGACATATGCTGCAACATGGACTGACTCAAAGATACACATGCAAACTGCAGATACAATTAAACAATAGCACTGGTATTGGATTATATGCTTTAAATGAAAATATTAATTTGCTTATAGAAGATTGCATGCATTTCTAAGGAGCTGTGGCCTAGTAGTTAGTACACATGCTCTGACGTATTGAGCAGTGGGGCTCATTAAGGCGAAGTGAATTTGATTCCAACTTGTGGCATTTCCAGATCTGGTTCTCCCCTCTCGTTCCCCATCTTTTCCAGTCTTCTATCCACTAAACCAAAATTCTCATTGGAGCAAGTTTGCTCACTTGGCAGACATCTTGGCGAAAACCCCTGGCAGCTATTTTCGAGTCACGTAAGCACATCTGCTACTATCTTCTTGAATAGGGACTGTGACTGTTTGTCACGCTGTCCAAAATGTACAGTGGGTTCCAAATTTTTTTTTATTTTTTTTTGCCATTTGGACACAGACTTTTGGACTCCCCTGTAGGCTATGTCACCACTATAATAAATACAGCAATTAAATACTGTATTTAAATAAATACTGCTGACAGCAATTAAATCATATCTTCTTATAGCTCAAAATCAATCTTTATATTTTTACAAAACATAAAAATTACAATTTTATTTTTTAAAGTTGGTCCAGCTAGTGCGATCTTTTAATTGAAAAGCCGAACTTAATTCCATTCAACTCCGCGGTACCATTTCATTCTTTTTTCGAGTTTTATAAAATAGCCTATAGACTAACAGTTGCCATTTTTATTTTTAAAAGTTGGTCTAGCTTTCTTTAAATTGACATGCTTAACTTCCTTTGCCCCCACATAGCCTACTTAGCGTTGCAATTTTTTCCTTCAGTCATCTTTTTATAGGCCTACTGCTTCTTTAAACAATTGCAATAATAAAAAGAAAAGAAAAAAAGATTGCATGTTTTGTTTAGAGACAACAGAAACCCCAAAGGTGGGACTTTCAAGGCTATTTCAAGTTATTCGTATTCACGTTCATTTAGGCTATACACAGACACATTGCACAACAACGCAAAAAAAAAAAAATGCCTTGTGTAAAACGTTAGGCTATAGGCTATAAAGAAGAGAGGCAGGAAAATACACTGCCTCTCTTCTTTAAGACTGGCTGTGAGGGATGCTTGCACCTGGAGACATATAATGACCCTGCTCTCTCTAATTTATCTATCTTCCTTTTTCCTCCTCTCTGCTGAGCCATCAAAAACTGCAGAAACTTAAATGGCACAGCAGGCACCCTCCCTAGTCGTGACGCACCCCGGTATTTATAACACTGGTCATCCATTTTGTTTACGATGAGGGAGGTGTGCAGCGCTACACTGGAGTCGAAGAGTCATCTAGCGGCCAACAGCGGTACTACAATTGCAGTTTGAGGTGTTCTTGTGGATCAGACGTTTTTTCTCCTTGGTCAAGGGATGCCTTATTATGCCCCATGCCAGCATTGACAACAGTAAGAGCCAAGAGGTAATAATAAAACCGATATCACATGATAAAGTGCACATGTATGACAGGATGAACATTTTAATCCATAATGATTTGCTGTAGCGACACAGACCAGTCGGTTCACAGATTTAGTGTCCAGGCAGGTCATGTGAGGTAGAAAATCTGACGGACGGCAAATTTCAAGATTTTCCTCTCTCTCTCTGTGGTGTGTGTGTGTGTGTGTGTGTGTGTGTGTGTGTGTGTGTGTTCCAGTACATGATAAATATAATAAATCGTAGGTCTCTCTCATCCTGACTGGAGGTTGTGTTGTTGATGCAGAGTGGTAGTAAATCCCACAGCTTCATTTTCTGTTCTCAGACATTTTCACATAGATTAAAATCCAGAGCTGTATTCTTCATGTGTCAACTATCAACTGAAGAGAGAAAGGGAAGGAGAAAAAATAACAGTGCTGAGCCCCCCGGATGACCTTGATTATGGACCATTGATTCGGGCGACCCAGAGGTCAGCATGGTAAATTCTTCCTGTTCTTACACACCAAAGTACACACATGTAAATGTCATTATCACAAGGAGTTGAACCTTCATGTCAAAACACATATGATTCTCACTTTGTGTAAAGGAAAATGGCACAGGTCCCAAATCTAATCATTCACATGTTTAAAAAGATATCATTAGCCTATAGATTAATTTAAAATTTGGCACCAAAAAGTATATTTGGATACACTTCAAAGCATTAGATACAAAATTTCTGTTTTTGTTTTGTTTTTCAGTAAAATATTACTTTTAAATCATGATACATTTACTTGAGAGGCAAAATGAGACAGGATAATAAGTCTTGTTTACTAAAATAAATAAAATATAAAATAAGCGAATTCATACTTAAAACAACTAAATCTGTCAGTGGGGTTAGAAACAAACTTGTTTTCGTTTTAAATAAAGTGTTTATTATCCTTTTGAATATTTTTTTCTGTTTTTTTAACATAATTTCAATAAAGAAAATTCAATTGATTGTCTTGAGTCATTTTGCTTCTCAAGTAAAATGAAAATACGCAGTTTATTTTAGAAGTCAGTATAGATGCATAACTATGACTCAGCTACAAAAAATATTGAACATTTCCACTATTTTTGCACAAGAAAACAGATTAGTGGGGCACTTTGTCACAGTAGAAACTGCCATTATTATTCCATATTATATATTCCATATTCCATCTATATGTCATATCATTATTTTTAATATATTTGTTTACGGTATATATTTTTTAAGCTTAATTTAAAACAAATTAAAACAATTATGAAAAATACAAGATTCATGAAGCATAAATACATTTTTAGGCAAACAGATCATGTAATTAGCCTAATGAAATTACATTTAAAACATCTGACAACGTGTCTCAAACTGGTACTATGAGAGAGAGAAAAAACACACTTAACACGAGGATTTAAATTATTCTTTTATTCTATTCTTTAATAGTTCAAATCTGCCTTCTTTATTTAGTTGACTCTTATTATGCTTGTGTGGTTTTATTGTTTACACAACAGCTAAAGCGAAAAATATGATGATATTTGGTTTGGTGGACAACAGTAGATGTTTGAAACACACTATTCAAAAGTTTTGAGTAGTTTTTCCATGTTTTTGAAAGAAGTCTCTTATATGCTCACCAAGGCTACATTTATTTGATCAAAAATACAGTAAAATCAGCAATATTGTGAAATATTATTACAAATTAAAATAACTGTTTTCTATTTTAATGCTTTTGATAAAATATATAAAAAATATACATTTATTTCTGTGATATAAAGCTGAATTTTCATTACTCCAGTCTTCAGTGTGATCCTTCAGAAATCATGCTAATATGCTGATTTGCTGCTCAAGAAATATTTCTTATTATTATCAAAGTTAAAAACAGATGTGCTGTGTAATATAGTTATTAAAACCGTGCTACATTTTTTCAGATTTCTTTGATGAATAGAACGTTCAAAAGAATCGCATTTATCTTACTGACCTCAAAATTGTCAATGGAAGTGTACAAAACCACTGCTTTAGAAAACACATTTGTGTAATTGACTTTTGGCTCAAGACTTCATTACATTGAAACAAATCATTGTTCCTTGGAACTTGGAGTGTTTGCAGCTATTATACAACAGAATTGAAGGGGGAAGACAGACCTTATTTCTTCAGTCATACCCAACTGCAAATATTTGCATCTTGACATTAAAATGTTTGGAAGGCTTTTAAAGACTGCATATTTTCCTGCTGTTACGCTGCTCAATTTGACCTATTTCCTATGCCTTACAAGCAAAACTTGCAAGCACACTCATTCTACCACATATTTGTATCATTGCAATCGGCTGACTCATAACACAATTCCTAACTTTTATACAAATCATACCATCAATTACAAAGCACAAGAAAATGCTAATTTGTTATAACTATGCTGTTACAGGCAAAATGCTTAGTTAAACAATAGACTTAAATTGGTCATTGCTGTTTGATTAGGAGTACAATTCTTTATAGAGCAAGTGTTCTCTGTCTGAAAACAACTCATTTGTTCTGTTTACTTGTTGTGTGGGTGTTTGAACAGCATGGCATGAATTATGCAAACCACCTGAGATAAAATAAAAATAAAATCGTATATAAACAGCTGTAAAGAATTTGAAATGTTTAAATGTCATAGGCTACATCCACTCACACAGAGCTTCACATCAACTTTTTTGCTCACCAGCCACTGTGGTTTTCCAAAGATAGGCTACTAACCACTCAGAATTTTCACTGGCCACAATTTTGACATCGATGCCATGGGGAACAACTGCCATATACTGTAGATATTTTTAAAGGCCCACTGGAGTTCCTTGAAACGCGCATTATTTAATCTGTTGACGTAATTTCCACTGAAACAGGAAGAAATATCGAACAGCCTCTCCTCTCCCCTTTTAAAAATAGCTAATAGCATTTAATTTATATCACAGCTCGACCAGAGCCGTTGAGCTCGGTAAAACCGCTGTTTCCTCTAACCGTTTCTCCTCCATATTGCTTTGAAATATAGCATTCTGTGCAGAATTCATATGGGTCCGATATGTTTTCTGGTCTGCGTCAACTCGCATATGATCCGCTCTGTGCTATCGTATCTCTGGACCGGAGCAGACTGTGTGCAATCTGCGGCTGTTCGTGTGACACTAACGTGAAACTAGACTTCATTCGCCCCAATGGAAAGCATATTTACACTGTCTGAATCGTTCCCCATCCCCTGTATAGTACACTGTGTGGCATTCACCATGTAGAAAATAGTTAATGTTGAACAAGTGACCGATTTCAGCCGCAGCTTCAGCGTCTATTTATAATGTAGTAGGCGGGTACTTTAGATCCTAGAGAGCATTTGATTGGACAGAAAATCTGATGAGAAGAGTAAGTGCAGAGTGATGTCATCAAAATCTTTGATCAAGTTTTGAATGCTTATATCTTCTAAATGTGAATTTTGTCATTGTTTTGGAGCACACTAGCTTATAGACAACAGTACGGCTAACATATTCATACTAAAAGCTTAAAACCTTCAATTTTGATTTCATGGGGACTTTAATATTATATATAATTTGACAGCAGGCATATTAGGCTGTTGTCACTTTAAGACCTGACGCACGGACCCATTAGAGGTTCATAAAGTCACATGCGTTTTCTTTCTTAACTGTTCTTAACTATACGCTCGCTTAAAACATGTACATATGTGAATACTCGCCAAGACCGGCATTCTGACATTTTTGTTTGTATTTCACTGTTTACCCGCAATAAGCAGCGACAAATAACTCAATTTAGCACTTAGGCGGCTTAATGTGCGCGCACTTTGGGTGTGAACACAAAATAAGCGGGAAAGAGTATAATTATGTGCAATACGCGCAATCCCATGCTGAACTTCAAACCCTGTAACACCAACAATATTCATCCGGAGCAAATGAAAGGAGTGAGCGAGGGGAGGCAAGTTTGTGTGTCGGAGAGATGAGAGAGCCAGAAAGCGCAGTATCGTGTAGCCCATTTATTCTGCGGTAAATGAGTATTGGAAGCGTTTCGGATATTTCAACACAGATGCCTTTTAAAAAGATTCCAGTTGAACATGTATATATTATATATAAAATTCAACCTGCCAAATTGGCTATTAGTGACTGTGTTACACGCCACTGCTAAAATCCACATGCATTTGGTGTCAAGCTCTGCACCCTCGTGTTATGATGGGAAATAAAGGTTAAGAACCATCTCTTGCAAGTAATTTTCTAAAAATGATTGAAGAAAGATGAATTTACATTCTGCCTATAGATTTTGAGCCTTGAAACCAATGAGTGAACTTGTAATACTTAGCTTAAAGTCTCCGTAAAGTCTAGACATTGGCCCTGATGACATCAACCTTGCATCTTAAATCTGTTGCTTGGATTGTAATGAAAGTGTTGAAAGAAAAAGACAAGGAGGGTTTATCACTACAAAAAAACACGGCACGAAAAAGTGATCTCAGCCAAGATTCATCAGCAGCATCGTGCAAACAGCTCCATGGAAACACTTCTTTGGAAGCAGATCATTTATTTGCGCTTCCACTTGAGGTCGACCCCGTCTGATATGTTTAGAGTTGCTTACTCATGAGAGACGGTTCTGAAACTCATGAGATGCAAGATTATTCATCGGGAAGTTTTTTCTGGCGAGAGCATCTTCATTTATCGCTCTTCAGATGGTTGGGAATGGAGATCATTTTTAATGAGGGCTCCTCTGCATACAAACAAGAAACAGCTGCTGCTTTGTCGGCCACTAGGGGGCGAAACTTTCAAAAAGTCCCCCAGTTCATCTGTGGCCACAACTGAAATAGTTACATGAATTACATGGGCATCAATAACACTAATTTAAAAATAACTACAATTCAAGAATTATACTATTAGCCTAAATCATTTTTGTGACAACAGTACCCTGGCCCTGTGGGCCGTTTGGGTCCCTTAACAGCTTATGGCATTAGTCAGAGGTCAAGGATGAAGACTTGGTGCAAACAATTCCTGTTGTGGGGGATTCAGTTTGCCTTGTTTAACCTTTGAGAGCAATCAATGGGAGCCTAAATCTATTTTTATTTTTATAATTTCAATTTTTTTAATTCACTTCACATTTCTATATTCATTATTTCATAAAACATTTATTTCATAATATTATTTGTGCAATTGAAATTCTTATGTACATCATTAAACACTTGTCATAGGTTATAGGCCTAGCAGCGTTTTTTTTTTTTTTAAGAAAAAGAAAAATGCTGACATATCCACTAATCATTTTGACATTTTCCATCTAAAACTGTTAACCCTTTTCCCTAATTATTCTATGATTATAATTAAAAAATCTCATTAATTGAGAGACATATATCTTCATGGTCAGTAGTATATTTATAAATGACATATTTATATATTATATATACACACATTCATGTCTATTTAAACATGTAGTATTATATAACATAAACTAAAATAATTATTATTTAACTCAAACCTCACACCCCCTGGGTTTTCACTTTTTTCAAGCTTATTTTCAGTAATGGCTTTACTGTTACGTGCGGCAATTATTAAATATTATATCTAAAACTTGCTTTTCTGAACCTATGGAAGTTGATCAAGTGTTGCAGTAGGAGGGGCCGGAGGGAATCTGCGCGTGGGGCTTCGCAGGAGGTAACCAATCAATACTCTCTCAATTCCTCAGAAACAAGCGCTGAACTTCAAGACACTGGCTTTATTCGGACAAATATCTTTTTTATCATCTCAGAGTGTTTGAAATGAGCTCCACGGCCAGAGGAACTCCTCTCAGTCTCGCTGTGGTGGTAATACTCTTCTCATTGGGAACGCCGTGGACTTTCCGAGAGGAGAAGGAGGATGTGGACAGGTAAAGTGCGCGTGCTGTCAGCTCGCTGTTTGCGCTAACTCAGAGGATGGAAAGTTTGTTTCCTGTGCGTGAGGAAGAATTGTTTCTGTAAAAAGAAACAGCTGACGTCTTCTTTGTCTTACAGAGAAGTGTGTTCAGAGAGCAAAATCGCAACCACGAAATACCCGTGCGTAAAATCCACTGGAGAGGTGACCACATGCTACAGGTAAGGAACTGTTTACTTATACATTTTAGCATTCTGTAGGTTCTTGTGTATGATTGTGGGTATAAATTGTCTGTAATCGCTTTTGTGATTTATTTAACGTTTTGTATTGAAGCAGGGCTGAATTACAGCTTCTCATATGAATAAATAAGTGCCCTATATGTCTGTCTATCATGGTTATTTTACATGTTTATGCAATGAAACCTGCTTTGCTTGAAGGTTTTCTCAAAAAAAAATGTATTCTATTTGCAGGAAGGCTGCCAAGTATCTTTAGTTGTTTTATGGTTAAGTTTGAAAATAGAACCACTGGCTCCATGTCTGACAGCAGCCAGTTTTTAATGTGCCATTGTATTCTACATCACCAACAGTACACAGACTCCTGCTGTGTTTTATGCAGTTCTTATGTGCCGATGGAAGAACCATATACTGAGTTTATATTTCAAAAATGAGACCCACATTGTGTCCTTTCAAATTGAAAATGACTCTGAAAATCTGATTAATCAGCCAGTCAGTTTCTCGTTCTCATATAGTGCCCAGGGTTTTCTTTCACTTGGTTAGCTGTGTTGGTGTTTTGTGTGGGACATGTTAAGTAATCCTGTTTTCATTCCTGTGACCTTTTAGAATTAGTGAAAGAAAGCAAGGAGATATTATTCTTTGAAGGTTGGGGATTATGATGCTGGAGGTTTAAGCCGGCTCCGGATGCAATGCAGACCAAGATTCCTCAGCCTTAGCGCAGTAACTTAAGCTAGTTTTGAAAGCAGGTCTTGTCGTTCCAGTCTGTTACTTTGCCAAGGGATGGTTAGATTATTATTAAGGTTTATTGTGTTGCTGCACACACCCTCAGTTAAAGGTATAGTTCGTTTAAAAAATCTACTTGCATTAACTCACTCTCATAACTTTTAAAACCCATATGTTTGAAGGAGAAGTTTTTCTGAATGTACTTGACATCAAAGCATGCATGGATAAGGGCTGCTGAGCCGCAAAAGACAGAAAACACCATAAATGTGGTTCAAATGATACCTGGTCCTACTTTTATTCTTCATAATCTCTTCTTTGTGGTCCATGGATGGCATAAAGTCACACAGGTTTGGAAATGCATTAATAAATAATGGCAGGTTTCATTTTAGGATTAAGTATTTCTTTAAATATTTATCTAGAATAGAAATCAAGCAATCAAAATTGTAGATGATTTTATTCTCCTTTCCATTATTAGCACTCTTCTCTGTGGTGGTGCATTTCAATCCACCTGCATGCTGGAAGCTGGAAGTAGCAAGTTAAAGCATAAACTTCTACAGTTTTTTATTATTATTTCAACAGGCGCTGATGTGTGATGCTTTGAAACACTTGCCAAAATCGCTGTTAAGCTTGCCCTTGTAAATTCCTGGGGTGTATGGTGTATGGGCCAGCGCTGGTGACCTGTGGAGTCCCTAACTCTCTCAAGCGTGCTTTGAGAGTATTTACACACTGGGTCTCAAGTGAGCACACTTGTCAGTATCATTTGCTCATATGCAGATCACTAAAATGATTCAATCGCTGTTTTGATATGAGCTCATCGTAAATTAACAGGTGCAGTTAGTATAAGTCACCACACCTCTTTCCGGTTGTGGCTTGGCGGCTCTCAAACTCGTGATGCGATATTTGGAAATATTTGTGTGTCATTTATTGTTCAATTAATGCTTCTAATCTGATGTGATCTGATTTGATTTGATCTTCTACACATCTGTTCTTGTGTTAGAAACATTCCTGCAAGCCAGGGTTTGTCTCTTGAATAGATTATAATGTCTAACTAAGGAGAATGTTCATGCATTGACATTGTCTTTGGTTGTGATCCATCCTGGAGCTTAATAGTGAAAACTAGCCAGGGATGTAAAGGGATGATAAAACTTTCTGTCCATCAATGAATGATTAGTTTTTGAGCTCTTATTGGCTTTGAGTTATTTTGGTTCTATGTTGTGCCAATTTGCTTGTGGCTGACTGTAATAGTTAACATTTTGTATCTGAATAAGGGCTGTTAACGATTACATATAGGCCTATATATATAAATCAAACTACCAGCAGTACTAATTATTTAATTAAATTAAATTAAATTAAATGCATATCAATGTTTTATAAAAAAAACAAAGAAACACAATTCTGCTAAAAAATGGATGAGAAAATAATCGACAATACAAAAATAAAAACACAAATATTACAAAATTTGACTTTAAAAGTGTAAATCACATGTTTTTCTAAAGTGACACTTTCCAACAGCGACACCAGCGGTTAAAGTTACATTCGGGAAGCAGCATGTCTTTAGCCTCACTTCAGCCCATTGAGTTTTAACAGTCCCCTTAAAGTGTGCCGTGGGTTTGGTGGGCGGTAGTTAAGGATGAACAGGGAAAAGTCACGTGAGGGCAATTCGCACTATTGGGCAATTGCTCTGTTCACGCGATAAATCCCGCCTCTTGTTTTGTGCGTTCCACATCCGCGGTTTAGCCTAAATGAACGGTGTTAATGGGAAGACTAATTAAAAAGTAAACAACTCACCCACTTGATGTCACCACTTTGTCAAGGCAAAATGAAACCTGAAACCTGATTGTATTTTTTTTTATAGTGTAAGTAATGTTTAATTAACCCGGAAACATTAAGTGTAACTAACATGAATTTACATTGGAAAAAACATTTAAAAAAACTGGACAGTTTCCGTCTCATTTCAGGACACCACTGGACGCCACTGACATTTATACATTATAATTATTCACACTGAATTAAAGGGATACTCCACTTTTTTTGGAAATAGGCTCATTTTACAACTCCCCCAGAGTTAAACTGTTGAGTTTTACCGTTTTTGAATCCATTCAGCCGATCTCCGGTTCTAGCGGTACCACTTTTAGCATAGCTTAGCATACATCATTGAAGTGGACAAGACCATTAGCATTTCTAAAAAAAAAAATGACCAAAGAGTTTCGATATTTTTCCTATTTAAAACTTGACTCTTCTGTAGTTACATCATGCACTAAGACCGACGGAAAATGTAAAGTTGCGATTTTCTAGGCTGATATGGCTAGGAACTATACTCTCATTCCTGCGTAATAATCAAGAAACTTTACTGCCGTACCATGAGTGCAGTTTTACTGTAACTTCAGAAGCTCCAGACACGTGAGCAAAAGCGCCAATCTCATTGGTCCGATAGTTTTTGACGCGGCGCGTCAAACCAAAAAAACGACCCCGAGGCGTTTTTTTTTTTAAATGACGCTTTTACGCGTGGCATTTTTCGCGTCGGTGTGCACACTCACATTGGCGCCCTTTGTTTAGTCACAAGGTGTGAAACGTCGGCGAATATCACGCACGAAATTCGTCCCGGTGTGAACAGGCCTTTACTCCACACTAGAGCCTTGTGCGGGACTGATTTCTTAATCCCGTTCTCGCTAATTACCACCAGCTCCTGCAACGTGTATCTTCCACTCCCGCCTGCACATGTCCACAACAAATGTTCTGTTACAGCTTGTTGAAATTGTGATAAAATTACACAAACATTAGGGCTATGCTAAACGTTCAGGAAAAATAGGGATAAAACATTAAACTGACCATAAGATAAAATAATGCTAGGACCACACATGACAAACCCATCCGGCCAGTTTTTTATTAGCCTTGTTTTGTTGATAGAGTTTTAACTAGTGGGGCCTAAAAACATATTTAAACATATGCGTAACAACACACACACCTAACCATAACAGTTAAACTCTTGTAACCTAACAGGGCATGGTATTTAATTGAATTAATTACAAAATAAATAAATATTAAACAAATTAAATATAAAACAAATTCAATAAATAACAAGTTATAAATAGCAAATAAAAACCTCACAAATATCCCAGGTGTTTATGTAGCTAATTAACATGTAGCAAAAAGAAAATAAATAATACTAAAAAACGTTAGTTTAAACGTACTTAACAAATTAATTAAATAATGAATCATTTGGCCTAGCTTACTCCAGATTGCTGTGGAAGAAGAGAATGTTAATGATCGACTGCGGGAAACTTAATTTTCAACAGAGTCCTTGTTACGCGGCTGTATTTTCTGACTGCCCACTCCCACCCGTAGAAAAGTAAAACCAAGCGGCAACCTTCCGGTCTCTCTTGAATCCAACACGGAAGTGACTTAAACTGCAATTTATCAACTGGCCAATATATAGTGGCATGCTCCAAAAGAGAGTCAGTCCCATATACCCCCCCATGTTAACATGTCCAACTTTACAGCAGAAAAAAAATGTTTACAGCCTGGTACAAAAAGAGGTTTTGGTTTATATAGCTAATTTTGCCCTTCATGACAACTGTGAGGGGGGTGAATTTTTTTATAACTTCATCCGTTTAAATAATATTAAGCCTTAAAGTTCTGCATAATTAAGGGCGTGGCCACTTGAGTGACAGGTGGTTTGCTCTGCTCGTTTGTCTACTGTCTGTTAGCTGTCACGTCACCTCAGCAAATCCCGCCTCTTTGCCTATTTTCGGTTATCCGGGAATGACGTGCGGTGACGCGTGCCAAGGTGGCGACGGCTGGCTCCACCCACTCTGGGCTTCAAAAATGCTCTTCAGAAACCTACGGGTGATGTCACGGAGTCTACTCTACGTCCATATATGTTTTACAGTCAATGGGTAAAACCGCCCGCTCCCACAAGATTGGCTTTGGGACCTGCGGGATCTCAATCCCAATGCAGCCTTCTACTCCACGCACTTGAGTCTGTCGACAACAGGACAAATGGAAGAGTAAATGGAAGCGTAAAGGAACGTTCACTTTGGCGCGTCCTGTTTAAACGGTTAATTTGCTCATTTTTGTAGAGACTTCAGAAGGATACCAGCGTCAGGAACAAGTGGATGAGTTATTTTTAATGGCGTCATGGATCCTTCCATTATTTAGTGTTAAGCTTTATTGGAGGATATAGTTTTACAGGGGAAGCTGTGTATTCTGAAAGGCTGCTGGGAAGTTGTTGATATAGTGCCATAGAATTTATAGGTCTTTGGTTT